GTGTCCCCCCGCGTCCCCAGCGCCCAGAGCAAGCGCTCGAAAAGCCGGGCAGGCCGCGGGCCATGGTCCCCTTCGAGGATCTTGGGGAAGACCCGCGCGGTGGCGACAGGTGCAGGTGCGCGTGAACCCCGCGCCATTCCGTGGCCCCCGCGGACCCCGCACCCCGCGCCCGTGGCCAAGACTGGGACAGCCCCGTGGCCCTTACCTTCCCACTCCAGCTCATTGTCGTTGCCCAGGAACTCGAGCGAGTCCATCTCGTCGGGGGTCTCAATGTTGTCCACGTTCATGTCCAGGTTGTCGGTGTGTCCAGGAAGTCGTCGGACAGCGAGATGCTGATCTCCGGGGCCACCAGGGTCTTGCATTTCTCTGGCAGGGTCGGTTGAAGTTCAGTGCACCAGGAGGGGCTGGGGAGAGGCCGACAGGACCTGTGGCCCCTCGCGCTCCCCCCACCCCACTGCCCTGCCTGGCAGAGGAGGCGGAGTGGCAGGGCCGGGGCGGGGCAGCCATGGCCATCCCCTGGCGCCTGTGGGGCAGTGGGTAGGCACTGGCTGCAGCAGTGAAGGCGCCACGGGTCCTGGCTCTGCATCCAGCCAGCCCCAGCCAGCCCCCGTGCTTGCACACCCTGGGCCCCTGCACCACCCGTGTGACTCCATGGAGCTCCTGGCTCCCGGCTTCAGCCTGGCCCGGCCCTGGCCATCGCGGGTGTCTGGGGAGTGACCTAGCAGGCGGGGGTCTCTGTCTCTGACTTTGCCTGTCTCCCGTTTAAATAATACGTATAGAAAAATTGTAAAAGGCCTCGGCGTCCTGGCAGAAAATGGTCAGGTCATAGGTCTGTGCCATGTTGCTCAGCAACTGTGGACTCAGGACGTGGCTGGTTAGGGAGGTTACCGTCCTGCCCCAGCAGGGCACCCTGAGTCCCCAGACCTTGCTGGGCTAAGACAGGCAGGCGGCAGAGCCCCCCATCTCAGACGGGGCTCAGCGGTAAGCTGGGCTGGGATTGGGTGGCTGTGTGTGTGTCATGCCAAGCATCACTCCTCTCCTTGTAGGGCAAGGAGGGTCCCAGAGCAGTGACCCTGACCCCTGACGGGCTCGTCCTTGCCCAGGAGGCAACTGGCCCCTCAGAGTGGCCATATGGCAGTGAGGACCAGATTGAGCCAGAAGGTCACCCCCAAGCCTCATACCAAAGGGACCCGCCCTGAAAAGTAAAAACCCAAAGCATCTGCCCCCCCCAGGCTTCGGAGTTATGTGTGTGTGTGTGGGGGGGAGGGTTGTTGCTTCCCTCTGCATTGGAGCTGCCTGCCCAGGAGCAGTAACTCCGGTTTCGTGGTCCCTGTCTGGAGAGGAAATTCTAGCCCAGGAATAATCCAACCCGAGTCTTGCGCCCCTGATTCCTATGGATTTCGGGGCCTGAACTTGATGGCTGAGTGACTGCGGGCAGACGGTGCCTGCGCGCCTGCCCTGGGCAGGGGCTGCAACGGGCCCCCTCTGCGGCAACCACACCCCACATCATGAGGCTGGGCGATTCCTGGAGGGCAGCAGGGAGGGCTCCCCCGTGGGCATTGCCGTGGCCATCTGGGGACTGAATCAGCAGTGGGGATTCCCTGTCTTGGCTGCTCAAGTCTATAAAGTCTTGAAAATGTCTCGTAAAGATTATTTGGGTGCAAAACGGCCTGCAGCCCACACACTTTCCCAGCATGCACTGTCCTCGCCCTGCAGAGGGGCTGTTGTGGGGGTGCGCAATGGTGTGGAGGCCCAGGGAGAGGCCACCTGCAAGCCCCGCCCCGGGGGTTTGGCCTTTCTCTCCTGGGCCCTCGGCTGATTAAGGAGGCCCAGGCATGTTCTAAGTCCATGGATTTAAACATCCTTAAAGTTGTATTCATTCACTTACCTACCTTATCTTTCTGCAAGGCAGAGTGACAGAGGGGTCTTACACACACTGGTTCACTCCAGTGCCTGTAGCCAGGGCTGGGCCAGGCCGAGGCCGAGAGCTGGGAGCTCCATCTGGGTCTCCCGTGTGGGTGGCAGGGGCACTTGAACTGTCACCGCTGCCTCACAGGGTGTGGACTGGCAGGGAGCTGGCGACAGCAGTGAGAGCCCGGCACTGGACCCAAGGGCTCCACTGTGGGACAGGGGAGCAGCCTGTGGGGTGGGGGCGTGGCCTGGGTCGGGGTCGTGGCCTATGGGTCGGGGCATGGCCTGTGGGCTGGGGAGCTGCCTTTGGGCTGAGTGCCAGCCCCGTGTCACCTCTTTGACCCTTACAAGCTCACTTCCTGTGATTCACAGCTGATGGAACGGGCCGGAGGCACAGACAGGCTGAGTAACTGGCTCAAGCACTCACAGCCATGTCCCCGTGGACCCTCCCCCACAGGCCCCGGAGCTGGGCAGCCCCTTCCCTTCAGGGCCTCTGGGATCTGCTGGCCCAGTTCCGGCAGAGCCATGCCTGGTGTGTGCAGAAACTTACAGGCCATGTCCGCTGCCCCGCTGTAGAGCGACTCCGTCTCTGTGTCTTCGCGCAGCAGCCTGCACCCTCAGCTGGGGCCGGGCAGTGCCTCCAGAACGTCCAGCTAGAGGAGGGTGGTGTGGCCAGGCGGGGTCTAGCGGAGGGGGTTCAGACAAAACAAGAACAGAGTGCACTTAGCGTTGGGCCCGAGCGCCTCTCTGCTTGGGGCAGAGCACAGCGAGCCCGCGCACAGGCTGGGAGTCGCAAATGTGCCCAACCTTGGGAGCTATGGCCCAAAGCCAGGCTGCTCAGGCCCTTGGGAATCTAAGTGGAATCCTCTGCGCTGGGCCTGCAGCCTTGGTTCTTGGAGTTTTGTGTTCTCTTTAGCTCATGCTCAGTGTGAGAGGCAGAGCTCGAATCCACTGGGTCACCCCCGGGTGCCTGGGAAGGCTGAAGGAGCCGAAGCTCAGAGTTCTGCGTGGGCTCCCCCCTGGGTGGCAGGGAGCCAGGGTGGGTGTCGACTGGGAGCTGAGTCGGAGGGACCCAGGGAGCTGAGTCAGGGGGACCCAAGGTGGGCGTCAGCTGAGAGCTGAGTCAGGGGGGACCCAGGGTGGGCGTTGGCCGGGAGCTGAGTTGGGGGGACCCAGGACTGGGACCTAGAATGCAGATGTCCTAGCAGGTGTTAGGGCCAGCATGGCGGTAGAGCAGGTTAAGCTGCCACCTGTCACACCACCAGTTCACATCCTGGCTGCTCCATTTCCGTTCCTGCCCCCTTCTAATGTGCCTGGGAAGGCAATGGAGGATGGCCTAAGTGCTGGGCTCTACCAGCCACATGGGAGACCCGAACAGAGCTCCCAGCTCCTGGCTTTGGCCTGGCCCAGCCCTGGCCATTGCCGCCACTTGGGGAATGAACCAGCAGATGGAAGACCTCTTTCCCTCTCTCTGCATAGCTGTGCCTTTCAAATAAATACACAAATCTTCAGGAGGAGAAAGAAAAGCAAGTGTCTTAAACCGCTAAGCTGAGCGCCCGCTGTCTCTGGGGTCTTGTCTGTCAAGAACAGGGACAAGTGTGTCAGAGCTGCATCACCGTCAGCCATGGGGTCCACGGCTGAGCCACCAGATAAACACAGGAGATGGGATGATGTCTGCGGGGAGCCCTGGCTGGCACACAGGTGAGAGAAGGTGCAAGGGACCACGGGGGCTGCACATGGCCCCACTTGGAGGTGCACAGGCCTCACCACAGGGGCCGTGCAGGCTGCCCATGCCTTCCACCTTTTGAGACTGGGGGCGGGCTCCCCGCTCCTGTGTCTTCCCCCCTGAAGACCAGCACCCGTCTGGCCAGTCAAGGGGCCGTCTGCAGCCCTAACTGGTTCTCCTCCGCACTCCTATGGCCATGAGGGGTGACAAGGAAATGTCCCACGGGGTCCCCCAGGGAGCAGCCCAAGCAGATCAGAGTGGGGGTACACATGGTGGCCCAGCGCTCGAGACACCCGTGTGTGTGGCCACCACCTGGGATGCCCCTGTCCCCGATGGGGTGGCCGAGTTCAAGTCTCCACTGCTCAGGTACCGGGGCTGCTGCCCCCTCAGGAAATGGAGCTTGGGACCTGCAGATGGGAGGCCTCTGCCTCTCAGATGGACCAGGCTAACAGGATATAAACCCCCAGTCACAGGAGGACTTGGAGACAGCGTTGTTCCATTCACAGGAACCCAGAGAGCCTTGAGGGAAGGCTGCAGGGTGAAACCAAGGTCCGGGCCACACCGGGCACCCCTGCCAGCTCCCAGCGGGGCTCGTTCTTGACCTGCCGCCAGCACTCAGGCTCCAGGTGCCTGAGCCACCCCTGCCATCACTGGTGCCAGGTTCTGTGCTGGGTCTTTTAGATCCCAGCTGCGGGGCTCTGCCAAGTCAGCAACCAGGGCCTCCTTTCCCAGCGCTGCTGGCTCAGCCTGAAGGCAGAGGCAGGGAATGCTTTTTTCATCCCCTCTTACTTGTTTCCTTAAGAGATATTTGGGGGGCCAGCACTGCAGCACCAGCATCCCATAGGGCGCCAGTTCCAGTGCAGGCTGCTCCACTTCCCATCCAGCTCCCTGCTGTGGCCTGGGAAAACAGTGGACAATGGCCCAAGTGCTTGGGCCCCTGCACCTGTGTGGGAGACCCATATGGAGCTCCTGGCTTCAGATCAGCACAGTTCCGGTCATTGCAGTCAATTGGGGAGTGAACCAGAGGATGGAATTGTTCTCTCTCTCTGCCTCTCTGTAACTCTGCCTTTCAAATAAATAAATCTTTTAAAAATTAAATAAAATATAAAATCTGAAAAAAAAAAGAAAACTAATGCCTCTCTCTTTGTTTTTGTTGCATATGATTGCTTTAGCTATTTGGAATCTCCTATATTTCCATATGATTTTCAGCATCGTTTTTTCTACATCTGTGAAGAATGTCCTTGGTGTTTTGATGGGAATCACATTGAGACTATAAATTGCTTCTGGTAGTATGGACATTTTGATGATATTTCTTCTTCCAATTCATGAAAATGGAAGAATTTTCCATTTTGAAATGTCTTCTTCTATTACTTTAATATTTTGTAATTTCCATCAAAGAGATCTTTACATCATTGGTTAAATTTATTCCAAGGTATTGAATTCCTTTTGTAGCTTTTGTGAATGGGATTGTTCTCAAAAGTTCTTTCTCAGCCATGGCATTGTCTGTGTATTTAAAAGATGTTGACATTTCTATGTTGATCTTATATCTTGCCACTTTACCAAACTCTTTATTTGACAGGTAGAGTTATAGACAGTGAGAGAGAGAGAGACAGAAAGAAAGATCTTCCTTACATTGATTCACTTTCCAAATGGCTACTACGGCCAGAGCTGTACCGCTCCAAAGCCAGGAGCCAGGTGCTTCCTCCTGGTCTCCCATGAGGGAGACTGAAAAGAGAAACTATTAATAGTGAAAATTTTACATCTTTTACTTCTCCATTGCTTTCAGAAATTGCTTTGTCTATACTAAACCATCATTTTGTCTGTGACTTAGCAATCCAGAGTGAATCTGTGTGTAGCACAGGACCTAAACTACACAGAAAAGCATCTGCATCATCTAAACTTTCCCTTTACTCTCAGTCACCTGAATCTGCAGGAAGACTGGTATACACACACACACACACACACACACACACAGAGTTCCCCCTTTCTCATTCCTTCACCATATCCCCTCTCCTTTCCTCTCTATTTGCTCTTCCTCCACAACAAATAAAAATCTTTTTCCTCCTTTTTAAGAAGGTACTTCCTGATTACTCTGTTCCCAGAGATATCCCAAGATGTACATCTTCCTATCTCTTTAGCTTAGGTAGAGCATATATTTTCTACAGGAACTGTCCTTTGTTTCCATTTTGTGGTTCCACTTTTGGAAAGTTACTCAAGCCTACTACTTTTAGCAGTCAATCATGATAAGGAATGAAATTAGAATGAAATGTGGAATGACAAGTTTTGTAGATATCATGTCCATTTAGCTGATAGTGTTCATTAGTTCTGTTGCTTGTTTTTTTGATTTTATGTCTAGTTTACCTGATTATTGATGAAAATGTTTTGTCAAAGTCCAGCATTACAATTGTATTGAAGTCTATGTCTCCCTTTAAGTGTCCAGGCTCCCTGGTGTTGGGTGCATATACATTTACTATAGTCACTGTGTCCTGTTGGATTAATCCCTTAATCATTATATAGTGCCCTTCTTTATCTCTTTTTACAGTTTTTGTGTTAAAGTCTATTTTGTCTGATATTAGGATGGTTACATCTGTTGTTTTTTGGTTTCTGCTAGGATGTAATATCTTCTAATCTTTTACTTTTGCTCCGTGTGCATTTTTGTTGGTGAGTTATGTTTCTTGTAATCAGCAAATAGATTTTCTGCTTTCACATTTCTTCATAATGATATCTATCTTTCTGTGTTTCTGTGTGTAGCACTTCCACAAGCATCTGCAAGACTGGAAGAGTAGTGACAAATTGGATTTCTGTTTGTTATAGAAGGTCTTTCTTTCATCTTTGTTCATGAATGAGAGCTTTGCAGACTACAGTATTCCGGGTCCACAGTTTTTTTTTTTTTTAATTTTTCTCTTAGTACATAGACTAAGTCTCTTCATTCTTGCCTAGCCCGTAGAGTTTCTGATGAAAAATCAGCTGTGAGTCTAATTAGAGATCCACTGACAGTAATCTGTCACTTCTCTTCTGCACATTTTAGGATTTTTTCTTTATATTTTCTTTATATTTTACTGTTGATAGTTTAAATACAATGTGTTGTGGTGAGGATCTTTTCTGGCCATGTCTATGAAGAGTTCTATGTGCTTGCTGTACTGGGATGTCCTTTTCTTTCTCAAACTAGGGATGTTTTCTGTAATTATATTACTAAATAGAACTTCTAATCCTTTCTCTTTCCACAACTTCAGGAACTCCTAAGACCCATATTTTGGGTCATTTGACAACATCACTTAAATTTCCAACACTATTTTTAATTTTTCTAATTTCTTCTTTTTTTTGGTCTTACTGAAAAATTTCTAAAGTTTTGTCTTCTAGATTGGCTATTCTTTCTTCTGCCTCACCCAGTCTGTTGTTTCCACCAAGTTTTTATTTGACATATTGAATTCTTCATTTCTAATGTTTCATTTAGATTTCTCTACAAAATCTCAAGTTTAATGGTAGATTTTTTTGATCATGTCATGCATGGATTACTTGAATTTGTGAATTTGCTCCTCATTGCTTCTGAGTAATCCTATGATTAATCTTTTGAATTCAATTTCAGTCTTTTCATCCATCTCTTCATCTTTGCATTCTGATATCAAGTGTTGTGTTATGTGGGGGGAGGGAGTCCTCTTATCTTCCTTATTCTTGTTTCTTGAATTTCTGCATTTATTTTTGGGCATTTTCAGAGTTCCATGTTGGTTTTTCCCTCTGATCTCTTTTTTTAACTGCCTCTGTGTGTTAGTGGAGTGTTGGGTGTTTCAGTGATATATCCAGTTGTGTGTGCTGAGTGTGGCCAGAATTCTGGTCAGTGCCCCAGGGTGGTAGGAATATACTGGGCAATACAGATCTCCTCTTGTTAACAGAAAATGGAGGTATGGTCATCTGTTGGTATAATCATACATATACTTTTTCTCTTACAAGGTGATCAATGCCCAGATGTTAGTCCTCAGTCAGTGACATACTCATTTGCACTCTGCATGAACTGCACAAAGGAATTGTTCAGTCCTCACTGTAAGCACAAATCTCACCTCAATGACCATCCCAGGCAATCAGGGACCTCTGGGCATGTGAAGCTGCACACAGTAATTGCCCAGAAACCCAGGTACATTCTGTGACCTCTTATGCAGTCACAGATTTCCCACCATCTCAGCACACAGGACTCCCACATTCATGGTGTGCAGAGGATACAAGCACTCCATTAGTCTGTCACTTCCACAGAGAAACTGAGATGCTCTCAGAGCCAGCTGCAGTTTGAACTTCAGAACCTATGATATGTTGAGAGACTAGGGCACCTCCTATTAGGGTACCCAGACACCTGAATTCTCCCAGCCCTACACAAAGTCAGTGGGGAACATGAAATTTTACTTTGGTTAAATTCCTGGATCACATGCTTGCACAATGGCCACCAGCCACAGCCCTTCCCATTTCACAATCATGCTTTCTCCCCACAGACTGCCATGCAGGAACATACAAGAATCTCTGCAGCCAGTACAGAGGTCAGAATGACTCTTTCACCCTGCCCATTGCCTGCTGTGTTCACCAGTACTGCTGCGGGTGCCTCTGCTGACAAGATTGTATTTTATCTGCACCAGTTGCTGGGTGTACACTCACTCTCTTCTTGTTAAAATGGTGCCCAACCTCTCTCAGCCACTTGCTGGGCACTGTTGTGAGAGGATCAGGAGAAGAAGACTTGCCCCTTTTTTCCACTGTGGTTAACATCATTGCCTACTCAGAAGACTGAGAAGCCTAATGTTCATTATATGGTTCATCTG